TCCAGTCCCTGCAGTGAGCACAGGGAGGCTGCTGAAGTTGGGGGCAGGGCAACTTTCTCTCTGCCTCTCTGCCTCTCTCTCTCTCTCTCCCTCTCTTTCTCTCTCTCTCTCCAGAGCTGCTGACAGCTGCTCACACAGGCCTGGGGCTGCTGCTCATGGCTGAGAGTCCAACCACGGTCACATCCTGGAAGGATCCTGTGAAGAGCTCACGGTCATAAACTGGAGTGGCCTGAAACAAAGGTGTCCTTGACAAAGAGACGGACAAATGTTTGTCCTCTTTATCTGCCTGGACTCCACATGTATGCCTGTATCTGAAGGAGAGACACAACATAAGACGACACACACACACATACACAGTGATCGAATATTTAAAGTAACCGCTGCTCCTGTCAGTGGACAGTCTTTAATAACCCCGATCACATGGCTTCAGCCTGAGACTGGGGTTTGAGTTTTCATGATCCACCACACCCAAATACTCAGAAAATATTCTCTGCTGTTAATTCTTGGAACTACACAGGGTTTTGGGTGAGGCCCAAACATTTCTCAAGAAAAAGAACGTGGGTTTTCCCATGAAATTAATCTATTCTGTGGGGATTCACTTCATATACAGCTTTGAGGGAAAAAAACTGTTAAAGCTGTTGAAATGCAGAATGACGAGAAGGCGAGACGAATGAGAATCATTAGTGATCAAATGATTCGATGGGGTCAATAAAATGATTCACAAACTGGCCCAGCAAGTTTGAGCAGACCATAAATGTGAGCAACAATTTCAGACATGAAGGACAAAGGAGGAGCCAGCTACTTCAGGGACAAGGTCTTTGAAAGAAAGAAGAAAGAAGTGAAGCAGTGACGTACCCTTGAGAGCAAGAGCAATAATGCCAATACAGTTCTCAAACCTGGTTCCAGCTAACAAACAAAGTGTTCTGTGGAGTTCTGTCCAGAAATCAGGGTGTGGTCTGGCTATGCTCGGCTCCAAGTTAAGAGGTGACAATATAACGTCTGATTGTTGACACGCAGAAACACGAGTTGAACATTTCCAACCGCCCAAACATCATAGCAAGGTATTCAAAGTCTGGATTCCGCAATGTTAGCTATGTAGACGGACCATGACAATCCTAAAAGATAAAGCACGCCAAACACATTAGTTCCAACTTGACATTTAACGACATGAAAGAAAAAACCCTGAGGCACATTTCAAATTTTTTAAAAAAGAATTAGAGACGATTCTTTCACTTGTACTTTTAGGTTTCAGTGTATAATTTTGTGTTTTAAATCCTACTCAATAGGTCATTTTAATTAATTAAATACAATGTTTAATCAGATTTAGTAGAGCATATCTGTGGCTTGTCAGTCGTCGACTTATTTACTGCCCTGTGCTCGCTGAGGCCGGTTTGACGTGAGCTACGTGTCTGACTGGAAGTTGAAGCGTCAACAAACGCCTGCTGGGAGTTGAGATGGTATTTTAATCCCCTGCAGTATGTGGAAATAATAACGTGTATCCAGTGATAATTCAACGACGGTGGAATTTTGAGTTTGCGTTGATCACGTTCATTTTCACATATAAATAATAGAACAATGGTTTTTTCCTACCCTACATGGATAGTTTTCCTATGGTACATCTTGCTGACTGTTTTTTTTTTTTACTTTTCCTCTCCACACCCTGTTCAAGCAGACCACAGGTTTGGATTATGGGGGACGGCTGTATTAACATTTGCATTATGTTACTGTGACCACCCAGCATGTCTGATGTGGAGCAGTGGACATGTCTGCTCTCTCAGTCTTGGCCAGGCTTCCTCCACAGTTAATTATGGCCACAGCTTGCATGGAGGCATATCATTAGCAGTAACTGCAGACAGCATCCCTCCACCATGTGCCCCTCTTTTTTTTGTTCCAGTTTTACGCCGCACTGATCAGCCATAGAGCAGTGCAATGATCCACACGCGGTGGATGGAACTGTGGTGCATGGAAAAGAGAGAAAGGGATGATGCAACCCCCAGTGTGAGCATGTGTTCACATCTATCATTCAAAGGAAATCGTGGTGTTAGTCTCAGGGACCGAGTTTCAAAGACGCAGGAGTAAAAACAGCACATGTGGATGGGTGGTGCTGCTGCAGGAAACTCCAGGATTACTGCTGAGGCAGAATGGGTTTGTTTTGAAAGCACAGTGCTGTGTGTGTGTTTGCTGAACTTGTTTTTGTATCCACAGTGAGACAGTTGTTCCCAAGTTCTTGTTTGTGGAACAAGTATGTGCATGTCGGAGTATTGTCTTTAAAGTTTGATATCCAAATCAGCAATTAGCCTGATTCCACTTTGGCAGGGCTGCAGAGCTGAGTTCCACTGCTGCAGTTGAGATTAGAGATGGCTCCATCCAATACTCAGGATCATAATATAGCCGTCTGATCCGACACCTTGGCCCAAATCAACTTAACTGCACCATGAAATAAACAGGGACACAGCAACGGAAGTCTGCGGTATCGGATCGGTATTGGCAGATAATTCGAGTTGTGGTATCGGTATGAACATCAAGCCATCTGTGGTGAAGACTTTGTATTGTGTGCACTGGAAATGGCTGTATCTCTCTCAACACTGACAGAAAATCAGAGAAGTACAACAACAACATTCTCTGACTAATCTAAAAAAAAGTGCAAATATAAATTCAATTTGACCTCAGTCTTCAAACCAAAATATTAGTTGGGTTTTTACAAATATTTTTCTAATGTTTAAAACAACAGCATTCATTTATATAGTATTTATAGTACTGCACTGTACTGTATACAGTACAATAGTTCAGAGGTCATTGGCCTAAATAGTTTCTTTCTACTGCAGTTGGGGAGGATGGGGGTGGTTTGGCCTTTAAGTGTAATGTTAGGTTGAAGGTTTGATTCTAACTGTGTGTTCTGGGCAAGAGCGAGCTCAGGTTGCTAATCATACCCAACCACAGAGGATTTTCTGACCCCTGAAAAAGGAGCTGATGACAGTGATTCTGATTCTGCCTATGTCTGTTTGTTCAGTCAAAGAGAGTAAAAATCTCTTTCACTCCCAGCCTGCACCTCAGTCGCACAATTTAGAACCAACAAGAGATTTATCTCCAGAGAATATGAACAGTGCCAGGCTGGAGTTTAAAATGACACTGTTAACACTATACAGCCAAAAATAGACAGACGCCCTGCAATTCACCACACTCAGAAATCACACCAACACAAAGACAGTGAACAGCAGTAGTCCTGGGGTTGACTCTCAGTCAGACTGCTGGTCCCAGGATCAAACATCATTTTGTTCAAATCATCTGGATCTAAGTATCTGGGGGAAACTGCTTGTATAACTCTCAACAATCAGAGGAAAGGAATGCAGTGAAGGAAGGGAAAGCAAACAGTGAAACATTTTTGAGAGTCTTACACCGTGGTGTAAAGAAACCTGCAGCAAACACAAACAAAGACGTTTCTGTGTTGTGTAACTCTGAACACCAGGACACTCTCCTGACCAGTATGTTTGCTTTTGTAAAGTGAATGTGACACTGAATGAATGACTGTGCATTAGAGCATTGTTTCCCAAAGACTGGGTCGGTTTTTGGACTTTTAAAATATGGGTCCCCAGAAAGAAAGTTTGGGAAACAATGTTTTAGAGCAACAATAAGTGGATGGAATTATCGGATATACAGTGGGAGCCTTTCAAATCTGATTCATCTTTACAAATTAATTGACATCACCTAATTGGTCAGAACAATCGCTTACTCATATCATGCATTTCTGGAATAAACAAAAGTGTCATTCCACCTTTTGACAACAAACTAACCTCCAAAACCTGTCTGTAAACGCTGACGTCAACATCAAACAGCAAGAACACACACAGAGATTAACAACACCTATTTAGATAAGGTGGCTCCTCTGGTTTACCTGAACAGGGCAAGTCGCCCAATAAGTTGTAGCTAAAGCAAACTAGATTGGTATATTTACTACAAGGGGAAGTAAATAGAGAAACACAAACCCTCACAGCCTCAGCTGACTCACTTACATCTATTTTATGTCAGATTTAATGAACCATAACAGTGGCCTGTAACTGTAAAATTAGTTTTCTGACTGGAAGTGGAAGCTGCATGACCTGCCATCAGACCCAGCCCAGCAGGGGCATGAAACAAGAGCGAGCTTTGGTGCTTGTGGTGACGGGGGAGGGTGATCTATGACCGAGCCTCTACAGTAAAGTGATCTGATGAGGAGATGGGCTGATCTCACCTTGACCTCTCTAATTCTCTCATACTTGTTATGCAACAGACATTCTTGAGCAGCTCTATTTATGTCTCACCCACTACAAATTAACATGCGTGACACAGTTAAAGCTGAGAAGGAGCCGCTGCAACCAATGAGCAGGGCAGGGAAGGTAACGCAGATGGATGCAAGCCTTTAGCGTTTGAATGATTTTATGCTACGTCAAGAAAATGCAACATAATCACTGCTGGATTTTCAAAGCCTCAGACTCCTGGGTTGTCAACAAAACCTGGTCAGGTGACTGGCTGATGGCAAACATGTGACTGAAAAGAAATCAAGAAGCAACGTTACTGAGTTACAACGTGAAACTGACACCAGAGCAGTCTAGAAACAGGTCGAGGTGATGGCCCGACGAGGCCGACACCACTGATGGTTTTGTTTTTGTTTTTTTTTGTGTGGTGACATATGAACTTCAATCTCCGTTTAGCAACATGACATTGTTGCTATCTGTAAAAAAATTGTTTTGACTTCCATAGCATCTACCACAGGGATAACAACAAAAACAGTGTGATCAACTGGTGGATCCTGATCTACTTGATGCAGCGTATTCAGTTGTGCAGAAGCATTTGCTTCTTCCTGTAAACGCACATGACTCCATATTTAATATATCTCGGTGGTCCCTCTGAAAGAGTCATAATTGACGCAAATGCAAGACAGAACAGGCTTCAGAAAGACTGACACTATCACAGTACTCCATTGAACAAAGATGTCAAACAAAGAAGCCACAGTAGCACTGATATTGCTTGTATATTTTATTTTATGTACATGTAAAAAAAAAAAAAAGCCAATAACATTGACCGACATGGGCAACAGTAGACAGCCATGTTGCTCATACATGGGAAAATCTTGTTGACCGTTTCAGGCGCACAGAGACGTTCTCCCTCCCTCGTTACATTGCGTAAGGCTGCCTGAATTGTTGCAGGGCTCGCTAGTGTACAGTCAAACTGGGAGGAGTGCATTATCTCTCTGTGACAACATCAGTGAGCCTGGTTCTTTAGTTGGCCTTGATGTGAACAAAAACTTTCCAGACAAGCAGAAAAAAAAAAGAAAAAGATGGATTCATTTGCCGAGTGTGACTGTGTGCAATCTTCAGTTTTAGCTGCGCTCAATCAGCTCTCTGCCATTCTGCCTACATCGCCTCCCTCCCCACCATTTCAACACAACGGTCACTAAAGGTCAACGCTGCAGTCTGCTTCTGCCCAATGACTCAACATGACTGCAGGTCCCCACTAGTCGTGAAAACGCGTCTCGCTCGCACTCAGCAGTTGGATTCACAGTATTCTTACAGCATGTTCGATGTTTTTTCCTCCTTAACGTTTCCGATAAAGCTTCAACTGAAAATGCATAAGGGCCTTCGACACCTTTTGCTCCATGTTTCTCCAGTGGAAATGTTAAAACAGACTCCTTTGTTTAAACTGTGTGTCTGTTCGTTAGGTAAGCTGACACAGAACCAGACAGTGCCCTGTGTCCCCAAGAATGGTTCAACAGAATAAACTAAATCAAAAATAAAGAAGACTTTTATTTTTGTATCTCCTGTATCTCCAAGGTCGTGGATAGTCAACCGTGAAGACTTCTAAACTCCCCTGCTGCTCATCAGGGCTGTATCTCGCAATAGTGTTTCAGACAGTGAGCTTACAGCAGGCCACCAAGGTACAGATAAAGTGCTTTTTTTTTCTCCAACATGATGTTTTAAATAATTAAAGTGATGTTAAAAATGGTTTTCAGGAAAGAGGGTGGGCAACGCAGGGGGGAAGGAACGTGATGTGATAAGGTAAAAAATAAAAATGGAAAAGAGACATAACCCGACTCCAGAGCAGAATCAGAGGTCAGTATAAATACATCCACACATGTAGGACATGAGAATGGAACATTGTGATTGCTAGAAGAACTGGAACAGTCTCTTCTGTCTATTGATGGAGCCATTCACATTGGTTGAGAAGTACGAAGAATCAGAGTAAGACTTTTTTTCTTTAAAAAAAAAAAAAAAATCATGGTAAGATGCGTCATGGTCCAGAGGATGGTGTTGGTACTCTAAAGATTCCACCAGCCTCCACCAGTAAAACCTTGGAAGTCGTGGCTGGTGAGGACCAAGACGATAACAGCAGCAGACCAGCAGGTTTTACAAGAGTGTAGCGAACGGTGTACAAATGGATCATAATAAACAATTACAGACAATAAATACATTCGAGTCCCTGTAGTGTTGTAATTCGGCTCTATTGAAATATGATTAACTCTAGAAAATGAAAAGGAGGAATAGTTCATGGGAGACCATAGAATGCATGGCCGCCGCTTTCTTTTTGCTCTCTCTCTCTCATCCAGTCAAAACGACACTCCACCTTGACGGCCATTTTCCGCATGCCTTGTGAAAGAAAGGGAAAAAAAGGCATATAAATAGTAGCCGTGGCAACCGCACGTACTCCCTCCTGGCTCTTGATGACAGGGTCTGAGAATTCAGAAAAACCTCTGAGATCTCTGCTCAGTCCTCAGCCTGGAAAAAAGCGGGGAAAAAAAGAAGATGAGATGAACAGGAAAGGAAAATGTAGAGTCACAATGAACAAACAAGATTAGTTCATGAGGCTCAAAACAAGCAGAGATATCATGTTCAACGTGTCAAGGTTGTAACTCGCAGATAATGCATCAGTGGGAGGTGAACGTCAGCTATTTTCCACTCAGCTGTAACCTCTGTGTAGCTGACAGAATAAGGAAAGAAACACTTTTTATAGGCCCTTAAAAAGTGGTAAATGTAGGCTCACATTAACCTCTGGCTGATTATTTAGAACAACTTGTCTTTGTGGGTAATGAGGCCCTCGGCAGAGCGAGCGGACTGTGGGAGCTGCCTGTCTGCTTCTCATAAAAGTCAAACACAATATTTAATCTCTCAACTATGTGCTGAAGCTTCACAGGGACACTGAACTCAATAACCATAGAGTCTGGCAGAGATACAGTATGAAAGCAGGCAAAAAAAAACTTCTGGAAAAAATTTCTGGAATTCTCTGTTTTTATTCTGATTGACCATCAGTTGTACAACCTGTGTCCTTAAACAAGTCTGCGTCCTAATGTTTGTTCTGCTCTCAGACTGTTGACCAAAAAAGGGTTTGGCTACAAATACAGGCCTGAAACAAAAGGCTACAACTTCTTGCTCATTCCATATTGTCTGTAAACTTTGTCCTCATGAACTCAGGCTTAATCATCAGCCACACAACAAACATTCTGTAGCAGCGTAGCTAGAAATGTTCTGATACAGGACTACCAGTAAGCAGCTACTGTAGTGCTGGCACTGCTAACAAACCTAATCCGACCCCCTCCCAGGGGTTACAGCTGTTCAGCTCTATGCAGTTCACACTATAGACAGCAGTGGAGCAGGGAGACAGAGAAAGAAATGCTATTGCAGATAAGCTAACAGCTAAGTTGGACTAAACCCCAGATAAATACATGCTAACAGACAGTTAGCCAGAAACAGTGCCGCAAAGGGAGGGTGGTAAAGTTAGAACTTGAACACTTTAAAATGAGGCCTCAGACTTAAGTCAACATTTTGAGCCATCACAGCCCTGGGATTCTTTTTTTGTGCTTCACAGAGGGTTGGCTTGGCTTCATTGTTCTTTGTTATTAAACAGTCTTTAGGTTTTGTCCCTTTAAACCTAGCAACTGCCTTGTGCTATGCAATCCAGGAGATCTCCCCAGAGCAGCAATCATTAACTCCAGTGATAAAGAGCAAACGGTTTAGAAACTATGTTTTGAAAGATTTTCTATAGCTTTTTGGTAAAATCCAAAAATATACACAAATACAAAGGTATTCACAACATCGATGTGGACTAGGTGGAAACAAAAAAAGGATGTACAAGTCCTTTAGATAGCAGCCTCTTTTTTATCAAAGCACCAACTTTGGCAGGTCATAATATCCAGTGTAAAGGGACAACATGATATGAATAAAGAAATTCAATATAACACTGCTTCTTGTCAGTCTGCTGAACAGTCCTGTTCACCAGAGACTATCTTTGACTGAGGTTATACAGAGTACTGTAGTTCAGTAACAGTCATTATGTCATTGTATTACACAAACACCTAGCAGCACTTTAGTGTGTTCTGCTGCAGCGATGTATCATCAACAATGAGTGTTTTAATTGAGGCAGGCACTGAAAAAAAGCAGTCTCTTCAACTGTACAATCCTCACATGTTACATATCTTTCTTCTTGCAGAAGTCCAAATAAACAGCTGGAGTATCCACTTAACAGGCCAGCTGCAAAATGTCTGATCTCAGAATCCCCTCAGGCTTACGCCATAAAACATTTTTTAACAGAGCCAGGATTACTCTGTGAAAAAAACCGCAGCACCTACAGCACCTTAGGAGATTGATAAAAATACAAATGTGACAATGTGTACTTTTTCTTAAACCTTTGTACTACACTCAGCTATGAGTGCAATGAGCAATGTGTTAGAACTAATAAAGGCAGTGGGATTTCTTAAAGTAACAGATATGGAAAATTGTACACAAAACAGCATACAGTTTAACCTTATTTATTTGTTTATTTGCAATGTGGAAAATTAAAGTTCCAAAATATCACATTTCCACAGACTAATGCAAGGATCAGGCCCATCTTCAGAAATTAAAAAATATAAAAATATAAATTAAAATGGCCTTAGCACAAATGTGATGTGAAAGAACATATGTATAAAAATGAAAAAGACGCTCCTGCCGTGATCTTCCACCGAGGCCCACTAGTGTCATAGCTAATTAAAACCTGTGTGTACTGGAGATGACTCGACATTGAAGTGAAGCTGATTAAAAACATCTACTAACAGCTTTCTTGCCATCCTTGACATGTAGATCTATGTTATAATACAAAGGAAGAGATAATGATTCATTTATATGTTGAGGTTAACAATCCTGTCAATGTGAAGACCTTTTCAAAAAATCCAACATTATGTTTTCATGTCATCAAGGATCATCCAGCTTTTGCTTTACACATTATATTGCAACAGAACCATATTCATGGGAGACGGTTTTGAACTAACCTACGTGTCGCTGTGGGAGAGCAGTGACGTGATCTCTGGGCTCATGTGACCCACAGCCTTGGCTGCCTCCAGGATGGCTCTCCGGTACATGCCCTTCTTTTTCCGGTTGAAGCGGGACCTGAAGAGCTCCCTGAAGGGGGACAATTTGGCAACGGAGAGCTGGGAAGTGGTAGGTGAACCAAACCACGAGACCTTTGCTTGGGGCCACTGTGCCTCACAAGTGGCTGTTTCCTGTTTGTGGGTGCCGCTAATACTAAGGACACGGGCTGGCCACCAGGGGAAGCCGTGGATCTTCCCCCAAACAATGTCACCCACTGCCACAGCGTGACCATCCTCTGTTACACACTTTGTCATACTGCGTGTGTGGAGCCGCACTGTGAGCGGTGGCACCGTCTTACAGTCCTCCCGTGACGGAACAGATGACGAGGTTACAGAAAGGTCTTCCCCAGGTGCGAGATCACACAGCTCAGGTGAAGTACCGTCAGAGCTAAACGACTTGGACTCATCTAGACTGTCACTGCTGCAGACTGACAGGCTAGAGGAATCCGCTTTACGTTTACGGAAGTTGATAAGAAGAGTAAGGTCACTATGGCCTCTGTCGGCCTCCTCTCCAGAACTCCCTGACCACAATTCCAGAGAGTTTTTGCCTTCCCCCGAGTCTTCAGAATGGGGAAGACAAGGTCCAGGGACTCTGGGGCTTTGCCTCCTAGTGTCTTCTATAAGTTCTGCCTCATACTCATCCACACTCTCCTCACCTGCCCTCTGAGGGGGTTTCAAGCGGATCTTTGGAGAAGGCAAGTCCTGAGACACATTTGTATAAGGTCTGGTGAGTTTTAGTTTGGGAATGGACACAGTGAGGCCAGACCGTGTGGCATCTAGGATGTGCCGCTGTTCCTTGGTAGACTCTGAAGATGCCTTGCCGTTTTCTCTGACACCATTTTGTGCCAGCTGTTTGGGGCAAAACGGTTTGACTGAACCATGGACCCGTGAGGGAATTTTCATGACCTCCCCTTTGCCCTGTGGAGTGCTGTAGGAGATCTTTATGACAGGACTATGAGGAATAGTCATTTCACCTCTGGAGTACTTGTCCACATCAGATTCTCCCCTTTTGTCCTTTCTAAGGCGCTTACTTTCAAAGTTGGTGCCATTCTCCCTTCTTTTAGTGTCCTTGGTTGCACCCACGTCTTCCTTTTTTGAAAGCTTTGATGGGATTTCTTTGTCCTCGCCATCATCATCACTTTGCAGTGCATCATCTTTTCTAGATGTCTTGGCACTGTTTATACCATCTTTGCTGTCCTCATCACTATTCAATGTGTTCTTGCATTTTTCACATAGTACCTGCCGAGGCCTTAGACGAATTGTGCTCATAGTCATACGGCCTGGCTCTCGTGTTCGCCTCTTCCTTCTTTTGATTGGTCGTGGAGGGGGTTGAGGTACCCATTGGCTATAGCTGTGGCGCACCCATAAAGGCTGGGGAAAGGGAGCTCCTTCAAAATAAGGAGGGTATGGAGTCTGTCCAGCGGGTACTGGTGTTGGTATAGGGCAGGGAGGAGGTGCAGTAGATATGCTGTTTTCAGGGAGAGCATTTTCATCCTTTGGTCTGTCTGAATTCTGGCTGGGGGAATGGGACACCAACTCCTCACTCAGAACTTCTGAGGTTTCACAGCCTAGTTTAGCCACTGGACATTCCTCAGATTTGGCTTTGAACTCAGGCAGACAGAAGAGCCCAGACCTGACATGAACAAAACAGAAAAATAGTTAATGATACACATGTATCTAATTTTTTTCAGAGCCTTTGTTCTTTTTTTAATGCATAGTGATCTCTAAGTTATGTTTCAAGTGTGAAGCCACACAAACACATTATAAATGTTCAGTTTGTTTTAATGGCAGTTTTTAGAGAGAATGTTGCTTCTGAAACGAGCTAAGAACTCAAACTCATTAACCAGTGACTCCCTAGTGACACATGACTCAGTCTGGTCTAGAGAAGCAGAAACATTATTCTTAGAAAAGATGAAACATTTCTTTGTAATTTAATTGTATTATTCAATATGAATATGCTAGTTTGTTGTACGTGTTGCTTTTCTAGATGATATCCACACAAAATGCTCGGTATTTTTTACTAAATACAAATAAAATAAAAAAATGTTCTTTTTTTTTTTTCCAAGAGGTGACCTACTTTATTTTACTTTGAATAGACCAATGACATTATCCTACAGCAAACTGAAAATGCTTTCAAGTGGTGGTTGTGGTTTAGAGCCAGGTCTACCCCAAGGCCACAAAAAAGATCAATAGATTAGCCAACTCTCGACTGATTGAACATTCTCTTATTCATAATGTCTGGGACCAGCAAACATGTCCAGAGAATACCCAACTGCCAAGGAGTCTTTGAGAGGTAGCTGGCAGGCAACAGTAACATGGTTGTGCTGCTTTAGTCAGGAGACAGAAGACAAAGAGACTACAGGATGCCCAAGAGCCCCCCTTTTCCCCAACATCTGACTGAACAAAAACAATTCCATGAACCATTTGGGATTCAGAGAGGTAAAGAAGGAGCCAGGAGATTTCAGTTTGTTTTTGCATCTATCTGTACTCAGGGCTTATGTGTGATGAGATTATTAATTAGCGTACATTTGGGGAGTCTTGTTTTCCTCCCCAGGAGGAGTAACTAGCAGGGACCTTTGAGTAATTGTCTCTTGGTGAGGCCCGCTGATATCACTTTTTTAATATGTGCCCTCAAATCAGCCAAATATTGGCTTTAACAGTAACTAACATGGCACAAACAGTGCAGCAGTGCTAGTTAAGACCAGCATATGACCGGTCATGATTCATTGGTCTGTTGCTATTTTACACAGGTACAGTGCAACCTGAGTTGAAAAGCAACTGGGATTCCCGGCCATTAAAATGTGTAACAGATAATTACGTGAAATGCATCTCTGTGAGTTGAAAAGGAACGAGAAGTCAAAATTTTGTCAGTGACAAGGCCTGAAATAAAGCCCTATTTTGAGTTATCCCGAGGCCTGCCATTTCCCATTAGGTAGAGTTATTTTGAGGATGAATATGAGCTCTCACATGAAAAACCATCTAAGTGTGCTAAGGGCAAAGCTGGTCAGGTTTTGATTTTGCTGCTCTATAAATAGTCTAAAGCTGATGGCTTTTAAGGTGCACAACACCAGGACTAACACAAGGCATTAACATGTGATACAAAAAGTATTAAAACCAACTTAATAACAAGGAGCACCACCTTTATGGATCTGAACAATTAGCTTCTTTAAATGAAAATAATAGCTCTGTTTCTCCCTAACACCAATCATGAAGTGATTAAAAAGTCTTTCTAGATTTGCCTTTAAAAACCTTCCCTTATATAATAACTTAATTCGATATTTTTCAGCCTATTGTTTCAGTAGATCCCAAAGTGGCTGATAATTATTGTAATCCACTTCTAAAACAGCTTCTAAACATACATAACTTCATTTTAACCTTACAATAAAATGTACACACACTTCAACATAACGGTGGATCATAGTTGACACTCATCATGTAACATATTTCGAATCGTAAGTGATATTAAGAATGCTGTTTCGACCAGGGTCTGCTCTTTTTTATTTATTTTTTTTTTACTGTAAAAACGTCTTAAGCTTCTCAGGACCTGATTAGGCTAACAATAAGCTAGAGATGAACCCAGTGACATTTACTATTGTTTAAAAGACAACTGGGTTTAATTTCACACCTAGGGTTGTTGTCTTTACTTAGCGGTTCTATAAAAGTGAAATAACGCATAGATCAAATTATAACACACCTATTTGAAAATAGTTTGCCATGAGCCATCTGGCTAACAGTTAGCAGCTACAAAAAGCCCAGTCTTTTTAACGAAGGCCCGGTTAGCTCACGGCTAACAAGCTACTTAGCATCAAAGACAGATTAGCCGTTAGCGATTTGAACAAATTAATTTCCAAACTACACAGCATTAAGAAACTAGAAGGAAAATAAGCCTTACTTTTTGCTGCAATCAAGTAAAATCCCCGCGTAGCTCCTTTCTCGAAATGTCAGCGTGACTACCAGTGTGTCGTTAATTATTTGATCGATAGTGACAGGTACCCGAGAGCCGGCCCGCAGCTCCTCGGCCACAGCCTCCATGTTTCCCGGGGTGAAATGTCCGACTCGGCGGTGCTCGATCCCGGCCAAGGGAGCCACGGTCGCGTCGGACAAAGATCCGTCTCCCCTTCGCTATAGAAGCAGCAGGCTACACCAGGGCATAAAATGACGCCATCACCCCCACCAAGTCAATTACAACAGCACTGCCATCGCTGACATCACGCTCGCTGTGTGTTGAAGAGCAAAAAATCAGCCAAGACAAGGCCTGAACCTTCCCCTGTCTCTGCTTCACTTTGCCTTGTTTGACGCCATTCATCACAACTGACTTTGATCTGGGGAAAACCTCACTTTTCCCCAGCGACAGAGTCTGATGGCGTTTTGTTCTCAACACACCACCATGCATTACTGAAAATGTACACATGTAGTATTCTTCTATGCAGCAAAAAGAGACGTTACTGGCCTACGAGTTCGAATACAAAATGTGTCGAAAATATAAAGGTACGAATCACAACACTAAAATCAAATATGGGATTGTTTTAATGTATTAATGTGTTACATCAAACGAAATATTTAACCTAATATACAACAACAGAGTAACCATTTATATTATAACGTACGTGTTCAGTAACACTGACGTAAGTGAAGCCATTTGCTTTAGTGGTTTTTAATTATTCCTAAAGCATCAATAAAGTAATGTTGAGGAATGATTCAACATCAACTTGTAAGTTGACCAAATTTTTACACAGTTCCTTCATCAGTTAACGTTTGTTCATTGAATTCTATTTTATTCCAATATACTTTTAAATACTATTATTTCCCCTCTCCAACAAATGCATTTTCTAAAATAAGTGGATCAAATTATATATATATTATACACACACAGTGTATGTATTGATTGTGGACCTCGTTTGAGTGGTACATGTGTTAGGTAAAAACAGCGTTTTCCTATTTAAACATATATTATAAAAAAGAAATGAAAGAAAGAGACAAAAATCATCTTTATTTGATGTTTGATCTGCAATAGTGACAAAAAAACTATTGCAGGAAAACAGGATCACACACACGATGCAGAGTTCTGCTTATCCAGTCAAAATTATCAAACAGTATCAATTGTCACTTTCATGTTCTGTCATTAAAATGTGTCCAGTTGTCTGCAGTGAAGATGGTGAAACATTTTTCATTTTCTCCTGCAGCATTTCTGGTTTCCAGAAGCTGTCTGTGCAACCTGGTCATCTGAAATTGAAAAGAACTCATATTACATTAGATCAACGTAGAAAATGTACTTGATAAATAGTGTGAATAGTAAAAGTATAGTCCTGACCTCTGCTATATCTCGCTCCGCTGCTGCCATCTGTTCATTGGCTGTGCCTCTAGGATTAACGTGTCTTTCCTGTATCATCTCTGCACATACACGGATCTGTCGCTGTAGCTCACTGGCGGATCTGGTGGGTTTACAGGTCCAAAATTACAAGGGGGTCCTGAATTTTCAAGTGTTTTGCTAGAGCCTGTAGGATCCTGGTCTGTGTCTTAAAATATGACTCATAAGTCAATGTGTATTTTACCAATGTTAACAGAATTCATTTGATTTGTTTAAATGTATTGTGTATGATGTTGTAAAGGCACAATGTAGTTTCAAAAGAACAAAGAAATTGTTTGGTTTCGGTTGTGTGACCTCTCATTGTCCAGTAGGTGTCTCTAGGTTTCTATGACTCAAAGCTGGCAGGCCATTAAGAGTGTACTTCAGTTCAGTGATCTAAATCGGTTTAAACCTTTTTGGTTGATTACACAATTGATTTTTTTTAAATGTCTCTAAATGGGCATGGATATAACACTTTAATAGTTGGGTAACGTGTGCAAAATATCAGGCATTTTAAAGCATGGCAGTGTAAACAGCATCTATGTTGAAAATAACAACATCTGCCTGAATTTCTGGTATAGATATGTATGTATCTCACGCAGATGACAGGCACTGTTGATGTTGGCATTGGTGTCAGTTGAGAAGCTGTGTATAAATGATACTTACTCTTCCTTGAACATGTTTCATATAAAAACATGGATATATGTACCTATGTTTTGGTGGAAAGGCTCACTACACAATGCAAAAATAACAATGTATATTTATATATGACACTAGGCCGCTTATAGTAGTGAGTCCCTGCTCATTCTGTTTAGCAATTTAGTGGTCCTTGGACTGAAAAACATTGAAGACTTACTGTAAAACACCTTTTTTAGGAAGCAAGTGTCAAAATATTGGTTTCAGTTTCAGACTGATGTAGATGTTAATTGTATTTTTATTTTTTTAGATGAACAGTTTTACCTGATTTCATTATACTTTGGGATCTGAAAGGTGGATGTCTGCCCCTGTGAAGAATCACTGCTGTCCTCATCATAGGCCTTTGTATTAGCACCTGCTTCCTAGAACAAATATCGCACTCAACAAATGTCTATGCTGTAACGAATGGTCAGGTATAAACTTCACAGTGGTTTAAATGTCAAATTCAACAACAATCATTTTAACGTTACCGACCATCCTTTGTTTCCAGTTGAAAACCAATTCAGAAGCTTTGAATTGATGATCTCTTTGGTCAGTTTTAACCTATTGTTTTACTTGGGTTCTCTGACGTGACAGAATTAATGCTCTACTGCCTCCCTGTGGTAATCAACTAGAAGTGTATCCGATTTAGTCCTCATACCTCTCGCATTTTTTCTTTGTCATTCCTCTTCTTCTGCCTGTACTCAGACAGTTTTCTCTCTTGTGTGACCTTGGCGTTTGTGCGCCACTTTGAAAGAGCCACTTGGTTTCTGAGGGAGATTCAAACAACAATACATTTGAATAGACTGATGCTTAGGAAAATGGTGGTTTCTAATGGAAGGAAAGGCGTCTTGTAAAAATTGATTGTTCCCCTGGTCTTTTCGTATTGAACATAATATTGATCCTTACACTGCTCAGTTCCGGTTCTAAACAAAGCAACGTATGAAGCAACAGTCTGCCTTATCTGTTATTTTTTTTCTGTTGAAGATATATTGAACAAAGCCATCCGTTGCAGCAGGGCAGATGATATGGTATTTACAACAATACAATGAAACTCCAACTAGTATGTATAAAAGAAAGACAGCAGACATTTTCTTACTTCATCCTCTGTTCCTGAGTGGCCTGTTTCTCTTTTGTCTCCTTTGTTGCAGCCTGTCTCCTCTCTTCTGGCCTCTTCCAGTGATGAGGGCCAAACAGTTGGAGCTCCGGAACCATGCTGGCCTTGGATGTGGCTTTTTTTCTGACAAATAAATTGAAAGAAGTGCTTTATATTTTATAGCACTCCTGGGCTCTGAGTCGTGGTGGCATCAGCTTGGGAGATTTTCGATTCTCTGGCCTCTGCTGGAGGCTATATTCTCTTTGTGGGCACCATGCTGTATACTTCTACCTCTGTACTAAAGTCAATGTTAAACAGCACAGACAAACTGCTAAAATGTTTGTTGCCCAGTGCTACTATCTACAATCTTTGATAAACTCAGATCTATTTACATGACATTAGAAAACATCAAATCAATCCAATCTGACCAAAACTGTCCTTAGGTCATATGGACATGTTGGTCTACTTACCTTTTGCTAACAGGGCAAGGACCTATCTTTGGAGTTTTATCACTCTGTGCCACTGATCTGAGCTCTGCTCGCTCCAGAAGCATCATCCTGTTTTTTAATTCTTTGAACTTCTCCAGCTCCTCTTCATCCTGCTCATCCACACTAGACACCATCAGTTCTGTCAGCTGGAGCTTCTCCACCACTGGCATCTCTGCAAATTGAAAAGCGAATGGCAAACAGAAGTGGGTGTAGAACAATCTGGAAATCTGACATAGTGAAATCTGGACGTGTGATACTGCAGTGCACAGATGGCCAAAGTTTAGCTCTGTGAGGATTTGGTCTTTCATTTATTACATTATGGAATCATCTTTCAACAGCAGCATTGGGTGTGTTGTTAAAAGTCCATTAAAGGACCAAAACTAACAGCTGACATCTCATTGCGGGTTGCATGTAGGTGTCCAAAAGTGACCCGCAGGCCAGGGGTTTGAGAACCATGGTGTAAATATAAAATAAATTTAGGTTCATTAAATTGAATTCACTGCTATCACTGCTATATGAATTATGTATATGAATGGTGCATATTCAAATCTGCTCTTCATATCGAGTCCTGTGCCTAGAGGAGTATTTCCTTTAGAGAGCACAGCCCTGTCTTTGTTAATAACCTTGTAGGCAGCAGGGAGATAAACGCTCTGATTGAAGGTTTGGGCTCTGCTCATTGTGGAGCTCCAGCCTCTCCTGTGGAGGGCTGTCTTGGGCTTGTCATTGTGATTACCTCCAGACAGAGCTCAGTGACAGAGAGCTCCTGTTCAGAGGCCACGGGTTATTGATCATTTTCATCTGGCTAAAAATATTTGAGCGCTGGAACAGAGGGGTGAAAAAAAAGGGTCAGCTTCTGCGTGGCACGTGGCGTCTCCAAGGGAACAAGAGTCACACCAGTGAAGCGGTACCAGGGCAAGGATC